CTGCTGTTTCCAGCGTCGGCGGTCTCTATCCTTCTCGCACGGTATATCTTTCTCTCTCGCACAGTTTCGAGCGTAGACCTCCACTAGCCTCCTGTTATCCTATTACTCAGCCGGAGCTTTCCTGATCCAAACGCTAGATGGCGCCACGAGTTTTAAGCGGGATCCGTTGCGGTCGTATGTCGGCAAATAGCCGTCCGCGTAATACAGAGCGACCTACGGTGGGTCTATCTTTCTGACAATGAGCGATATTATACGCACGGTTATAGTAAAATAAGCGGTATTACGTTTCGTTTGACAGAAAATTAGAGATATTTAGCGATAAAGTCTTATTATTTATGGCGAAAACTAAATAATAATAAGAAGTTAATTCACGCGTTAGAAAGTTATTTAAATACTACTAAAATACTTTATAGACAGCGATAGCGTACAGCGTGTTACTCTATGTTAATTGTATCTCTACGTCAAGTTATGACACTGTTTCGCTCCCGTGGCAGATATTTAATCAAAGTTAATCGTTGTCGCTACACGTCCGTTGAACAATGTCAATCGCTCGGGAACGTCATAGTCATAGGAATTAGCATTTGAAAGGAGCCATATATTGTCATCCGCGAGATCAATTATTTCACCGACGAAGCACATTGTACCATCATCAATAGGATTGCCTTTTTTTCCATTCCATGTGGGAGGCGAATTAACTTATGTATAATGCAGAGAAGCTGCGTATAAGAGATCCTGGCTGCCGGAACAAATGGTAATGCCGATTGTATTTCCAGTCAACGCCACGCCCTGAACTTAATTTACTGCTTGGCTTTAAATTTTCTGCCAGTATTCGCTCTTTACCGTTTCGAGCAGCTCGGGTCTGATGTCTAGGAACAGTTTACGACTGAAAGCATAATCGATGGAATCATTCAGAAACTTCTGAACTCTTCAGATTTCAGGAACGTTAGGATGATCAGTTCCTCTGCAAGGGTCGAGAAATTTCATTAGAAAGCGGGGAGGATCTCTTAGATTAGTGGTAACTTGACAGGATAACAGGGTGGGAAATTTGAGTGGTCCAGATATCAAATTTCAAAACATAACAACTGTTAGGAACAAAAATTTATTCAACACGCATATCTGGACAGTTGTTTCTTAAAGTTAGTACGCTTCGTTTGTTAACAATGGTATTAAATGTACAGTAAAAGGAGTCTTCCATTTTGTTACACGAAAAGCATCGATAATGTGGAGCAGAAAATCCTTGGTCAGTTTTCCAACCACGAGTAGCTTATTTTCCTGAACGATCGACTTTTCTTTAACCCCTTTAATCCCTTACACGATCGTCCAAGACTAGGTCAACGGTTCGCTTAATATGGAGTATCGAAGCAGGTTACTTTGTAAATGAACTAAACCGCTCTCGTTAGAATGCCTTCTTTTTTTGAAGTCAAGTTCCGTTCTCGAGGACGTATTCGTTGCAAGAAAATCGCCGTTATGGCAGAAGACGTGATAATCACGTTACTCAACGTTGCACGCAAATACTCTTTTTGTAAAAGTATAATAGCTGAGAATCGCGAAAACTATCGCCTCGCCGCGAGTGGATTCCAAGTAAAATCGTCACTAGCTCTTATTGTTAGACTAAAATGGTTGTACAAATCGTTGAAAATGTTCCCTACTAGCGGGGATTACATAGATCGTGGACTTTCGTAATTAATTAAAGCAAATTGCAGCCGATTGATCGAGCCAACTCAAACCCAGCCGTTTTTCCAACGTATTTTGTTCGCGTTCTTGTCTCGACGAAATTAGAAAGGAAAAGTAATGGCAGAAATTACTCTAAATGACACGCCTCGAGTGCTACGGAAAGAGTGTTTTCTTTCAGGCATCGGCGCCGTCCCGGAAAACTTTTTACCCGTCGATACCAATCCGTTGGGAATATTTCCATTGAGCCATATTAGACGGATCTCGAGCGGCGATCGTGTCCAAGAATCCCGTCTCGCAAATTCTCCACATTTCCTAACGAATTTCCATTTCCATTCCAGTTTCACGAGAACATAATTTTCCAATGTTTCATGGCTCCCAATTACGCGAGGAAATTTATCGCAATCTGGGGAACTTGGGACGTTACGGGAATATTATTGTTCGTATATGAAAGTCTTTACGGACTCGCGTTAAGGCTACGAGTATGTAATCGACACGTTACTCGAGTCGGAGAAAATATTCAAGTCTTGGATTTATCGAATCACTGAAAAGTTTGAATATTTTTCTATTCGCAACGGGTGGTCATCATTTTGGAGGCATACACTAATAAAACGCTGTTTGAGAATCATTTCCTTTGGTTGTTGATTTATGCGTTAGAAGAGTACCAATTTCAAGAGTTAGCAATCGGTGAAAGTCGGACCGCTCTGAATTTTTAGTTATAAAGTAAATTGTATTTTAGATAGTTCATCGACAACCGAGGACCTAGAAAAGTCCAGCACAGGAATTTCAGAATTCTCAAATCTCGAACAACTGCTGCGCGAGAGTTTCGCGTGCGAATAAATGGCAAAGATCTCCACGGCGCGAAAAAAAAAAAGAACAAAAGGAGACTCGGAATGGCGGTTGCGTGTAATTCTAGATATACAGTCGGTTCAACGGTGTAAAAATACGCTCTACAGTTACACGTCGGAATGGGAATGGTTTGGATGAAACATGGGCCGCAATACTGATCGGATCTGATCGTTCGCTCTTTCGCGCGAGTGGATTCGAAGCTTCCTGCTGCATCAGACATTTCTGACCAGCAGGATTCACGGAATTACGCCCATAGACAGCGCGGAACGTCTCTGAACGCCTATTAGCGTCGCATCGCATTTTTCTTTTGCATAAATTACACGCGGAGCCTGTGCAGTAAATACATACATACGAAAAAAACGGCACCACAACATCGACGTAGGTATACACGCTTTACGAAAGTGATTTGCGCGAGAAATAAATATAGAGATATCGTAGATAGAGTAAGGGAGCCGTCTCTGTTTATCAGCACAATTTTATATCATTTCTGTGTTAACGATAAATGGTTATTACATATATATTTTATATTCACACTAATAAAAGTACAAAGATAGATAGGGTACAGGCAAGCCTGTCACCCTTGCTCTACCTACGATATCTCTATGGAAATAAACAATACTGATTGATTTATGGATTTCTTACGATTTCAATTAATTGATAAAGTTGACGTAGTCGGTAACAGGATTAGATATCGAACTAATCCAGCAGGATCTGGTGATATTCGTCTGTTCTGTCTATCGCCACCCTTGAAATTATTCAGACACAGTTTTGTTTGCAATCGAATAAAGCCAAGGCTCGGAGTTAGCAACCTCGAGGAACGAGCATCAAGTATTTAAGAATGGCAACCTCGGCGGAGAACGAAAACTCGGAAGTTACTAAATCACGCGATTTATCTGGGGAACGAGTCTCGCGAAGCTTGGCCCAAGGCGTTCGATAATCTCGACGCGTAAACTATGTTGAACAAATTTCACGTACCAGTGCCAGTTGATTCTCATCGAGCCGTGGACGAAGAATCGCGGCGGTTTTACGGACGACAATGGATTAATGGGACCCGTTTAAGCACAACGATTCATTTCGCAACGCCTTTGGCCGAGATCCTTAAGAAACGAATCGATCGATAAAGATTGCGAATGGAACCTGCGAGCCTTCCACAACCCGTTCGCCATCGATCAGATCGTTAATCTTTGATTTAGTTGCCGCAACAGTCTTGGTTGGACGCACGCTTGTGATTTATTTGTCAATGTGTTGCCGATAACGCCAAAGGACACGATGAGCATAAACACGAAAATCTTGGTTGTTGTCCTGATTACTTTTCTTGCTTTCCAGAAAGACGAAACTAGTTGGCGAGCGAGAGAATACGGCGATGAAAGTTCCACGCGTACAGAAAAAAGGAAATTAATCATTTCCGTTCCTGGGAGGGCATAAAAAAGAATCGTTCGAGGAAACGCCAAGTTACGCAGGCCAGTGGAAAAGACGTCAAACCGTATCGTGCAAGAATTTGCTTCCTATGCAATTTCTTCCCGTAAAACGTCATACCCATTGCGTATAGATGGTAATTCACTGATTGAATTGCATTCTAGGTGCTATTTTCATTTCCCGGGGCAAATAGAGGAAAAAGGAATAAAGTTTCGCCCATCGAATTAAAGTTTCTTTTCAAAAATTCGTCCAAGAGTATCCAACTGCAGAGAGTAACGCTACCAAGGTATCACTTTCGAGAATCGATTCGATACCAGCAAGCCTATCATTGGAAATTATTGCTCGAGAAGAGGTGGAATTGACGCTGTTCTTCATAATTGTAAAATCGTTTAAACTCAGAAGGCCCACGGGCGTTACGGTCCAAGCAAGGGAAATTATTTACTCCACTTTCTAATGGTTACCTATCGTCTAATATCGCTTGTCTGATCGAGCCGAAAAATATGATAAATTCTCCTCGAGAAAAACACAGAATTTGTTTGCGAACGCTTCCCTTATACACGGTGAAACGGAACAGTTCGGTGACATAAGCTTATAATTAAAATGCTTGCCTTCCGGGCGCAGGAGAGTTGCAGAAGAACATAGCTGGTTTTCTGAATAGAGAGAGAGAGAGAGAGAGTTCGAAAGGCAACGTTTGAGAAAATAAAGAGGCGAAATCGTATAGCGACAGCCAGAGGCAAGGAAGTTTGCCAAGCGTGATTTGGTCGTGGGTACCAATCTCGCAACGAATCCATCATGATACGGCAGAAGTTACTCAAAGTATATGATATTTCGCGTTGATGTATGCAGACACATTCCAGGCCGAATGGAGAAACAGAACAGACGACGTTTTAGCGATCCTGTACGCGCCTATGATACGTTCCGCTGCGCGAAACGGTTTACATTCTAGCGCTACATCGTGCGCCGTGTTACAAGAAACTTCATTTTTCGCAAATGACGAAGGGGGAAAGTCAGTTCATCCCAGCGAATTAAGGTTGACGCGTCGAGTATTTTCCAAAAGGCAGATTTCTGCTAGATTCCGCCCGCGTAACTCATCGAGGATATCTCGGAATTGAAATCTCGATCGTTACATTGAATATTAGTTTATGTAGCGTGTTACTAACGCAGAATTTCGTTTAGGACGAACCGAGTACCTCGTGTAGCCGGTGTTAATTAATCGATGCGACTTCCGATAGCACTCGATAATCGTATTATACTCGTTTACCAGAATAAGCTGTCCAGGAATCAATGACCGGTGTCACATGGAACGGATATTCGTCAGTTCCTTCAAAATCCTTGCTCTAATTCTGCGCTCGGTGCTGGAACACGCTCGCAACGCGGTACAACCGGTTCCAATTAATATCAAGCGGGTTGCGATGCTGTCGGCATGAGCAATAAACTCCCGTGTGTACGAGCGCAACGCTTAAGTTCACGAGGTCGATTGCAGTTTACAACGTATCATCAGGCGCCCTAGGGTGACACGAAGGAAAAGTTACATAGACGCACCGTAATCCACCCGGGTGTATGTACTTACCCATCGAAGCTCTCGCAACGTGCCGCGCGCGTTAAGTTCTCCTATTACGGAACCAACAAATGCCAGAAGCATTTCGAATTTAATTTGACGCTTGTCCGTTCCCTCTGTTGTTTCAGCGTCCAGTGCCGGGACGTATGAGTGTTTCACTTTTCACGATGAGAATCTCGTAACATTTAGTCCTGGGTGGGGGGGGGGGGGGGGGGGGTCGTCGAGGTCTCGACGCTTCGGAAATTAGTTTATCGTCGACGTTGGGAAATTCGGAGGGCACGTCCACGTCCATTAACCCCGTCTCCGTGATCCTCAGGTTCGTACCTTCGCTGGTACAGCGACATAGCCTGAACACCTGTAAAATAAAATAAATCAATACGAATGATCCACGAGAAACCACTCTAGTTTACAATATAAACTTTGCGTGCTGATTCTAAGACTTGAAAGACTTGAAAGGAAAGTGAGACACAGACTTCGGGCACACCCATTGTTGGAACAAATTTTCCTGTCGGCTGTAACGCAACTCCGTTTAGAATTAATAGGAGAAAACTGAATATTGTATTTCGGGATACGTCAAGTTTGCTGCGGGACAAGTCGTGACTGAAACTTCATCAAAACTTTTCCACTAAGAACACGATATCGAGACAATAGTATTACCCATACTTACAATTTGTTGGTAAACGATTCGCTCCTTCCATAATCAGTCAGCTCCACGCATGTCGTTGCGAGATTGTACTAACGATATAACCGTCCTCTTTTATGTCCTTCTCTTGCTTTCTACGTTATTCTATTAGTACATTCTTCGTTTAACGTTTGAATCGTTAACTACTTAGGTGGTTCGTGTTAGTCTGAAAGTCAGAGTTAAGATGGATAGTATCGCATAAACAAATAAGTACGTTTTCTGAAAAAATAGAGGGCCATTCATCATCAACTTGTTTTCGACCATTTTGGCAGTATTTTTTCACCAAGCTTGATCAGGTTAAAACGATAATGAATGAAACCCATTAATCATCCATGCAACTTCCATTCCATTTATTAACACGCCAGGCAAGAAAATTCGATACTCTCACTGCTTTCTATTTTCCGTTGTTTCCTTTCTCAACAGACATGTACAGACGAGGAAATACACGACCTGACAGCCTTCCCATGATAGATATCCCAACTCACAGATACTGTCGTGCCTTGAAATAACTCGTAATTAGCATTTGTTACCATCGTTGAGTAAACGCGCGTAAACCAATCTAACAAACAAACACAGTTGTAGACAGTGTCCTGGCAAATGATAGGTGGAACGGTAGCCATCGTCAAGGTACGAATGACACTTACGTTTCAATTTCCATCGAAAATCGTGTTCTTTCTTCGTGGTTCACATCTAACAAAGCTTCTACTTTTTGGAAACTGGAAATACAGCAAAGCAAAGGAAAACTTTGTAGAAACTGTGAATAAAAGGCAGGCATTGGTAACAAATTTGTATATAAAATATCCGAGACAATCGGTTGAAAATATTTTTAAATATTTTTCCATACTCTGTTTGGCAATGAATTCGTTAGTCGAACCCATTGCCAAACGATTCCTCAGCGTTATATTTAGCCAAGGAGCTGATCTCAGAACGGTCCCTCCCTTCTGGCAACCCGAATTTCGCTCGACAATGGTGGCCGTGATCGAATCAATTATAATCGCTAATTGGGAGATTGCCGTGCAAGTCGCTAAAGTACCACGAGCACATTCTCGATGCTAATATACATAGGCGTACGCGTATTTAGATATGCATCTCGCATGCATATGTATGACGTTAAGGTGTATTCATTAGACGGACGAAAGCAGGCTACCATTCAGAGGTTTCTATATTCATTCATGAAGCAACGGGTTTGGTAACAGACGTCGCGTCGGTTCGAATAATCGAGCGAATGTAACACGGAAGTCGCTGCGACCGCAGTCACCGATCGTTATTTAAATTTGTTAGACATTGGTTGGTTTGCTGGACACCTGGGCTAAGAGTCCTCGGATAATATTTTCAAGTGGAAAAAGGTTAATAGAAAAAGTTGCATTTCAGAAGATTTAAGAATTGGCTTTGGCCCTCCCGTCAGAGGAGAATAAGTACGGTAATAATACGGTAACGAGAATAATACGGTAAAGAGCAACCGTGAATTTAAAGGAAATAGCAGAGAAGAACTTGAGACTATAGGAAACAAGAAGTGAGAAAAAGTCCATGGTTCCCAGAAAGTTCTTGGATCGCTCGTACGATCCAGCTGATCCATTTATCTCAGCATCTTTATCCTCGAACTGGTGTCACCGAGTACATTCGAGAAGGAACGGAATGCCCGCATCTCCGAACGCTGAGATCATCCTAACGCTGTGAACCGTAATCCACATTTAGGACGTCAGGTGTGTTCGGGCTGCTTAATTAACGGCGCAATTTACAGGGTGTTACGTTTTCAGTCTCCCCTTTGGTACCCTTTCCCATGATCTTTCTCTAAGGCGAGCGTTCAATAAAACACGGATCTTAGTAGCGCGGAACAATTAACTCGGATGAGTGTGTGCTCTAGGAAGCTGGACAACGTTTACGATCCTCGTGGAACATCGCATTTATCAAGCAGCTCTATTATACCTTGAATCCGCGCGTTAACCGCCGAGCTAGCGCGTTCGCGTTTAATTAGCTGTCGCATCAGTACTCACTGTTTTTCTTATCAGAACCGTGCAAGGTGAAACACCATTGTTCCTCTCGAGAATGACCTTTGAGAAGGCTAGAGCAATCTCCAGGCGACCTGGTCCTTAATTCATCCAACTCGATTGCCATTGTCCACAATTTCGACCAAGCTCTCTGGAATAATCCAATCGTGGAATAGTAGTAATAATAATAATAATAATAATAATAATAATAATAATAATAATAATAATAATAATAATA